TTTTTAATTGACGTATAATACCTAAAAATAAACAAAATGTTAATAGACAATAAAAGAATTTTTTAAAACGATTATCGGCATTATTGTTTTGTATATTTTGTCTTGATAATAATAATTTTACAGCTAGGGATGGTCCGCATATTATCGAATCAAATTTTCACGGTTTTGGAACCTCCCCATCCCTCATGTCATCATTTGACCATTCCCCTTCCCTCTGTAATATTATAAAAATGTTTTGTTCATTTTCGCGATTGCAGTGGCTGAACAAGCTGAATACACAGCCCTGCAATTGTTGGAGAACCGAGCAACCGCACATGAAAAGACACATGCTGCTGTGTTGAAACCGAAATTCGAAGTCCTTCATATGAAAGAGAAAAATATGAAAGTGTTAGCAAAACAGGTCGAGTTCGATATTGTACCGAAATCAGTTCCAAAATTTGATTTTAATTACCGAATCGACGAGCAAGCCCTGTCCCCGACGCAAATAGACAATGCGCATCGAGACATGAGGAAATTAGTTCTTGATTTTCAAAAGGAGGCAGTTCAGCTCATGCTTCAAACCGCCACTGAAGAATGTGACAATGTCAGAATTAAAGTGACCGAACTCATTGATGGCATACCAGAAGGAGAGGTGGACTGCGTTGAAGGTAGTGACGAGGACGCTCAAGTGCAAGAGAATGGATCGTTTCGAGCCCTCTTCAACCACTATGTGGAAGCACGAGCTATCCGACTCAACAAAACCACAGAGTTAGCCCTTCTTTTTTTAGACGAGCTACACGGGATCGAGGACATAAGAGCAACATTTCCCGTGCTTACACGACAAAACGAACCTCAACCTGCGGCTCTTATGCTTGGCCCAGGTTTTATGCTCCCGCTATAATCAATGAAAGTCGGATGGACTTATCAGAAGATGAGAGTGGCCTTTTAAAATTAGGCCCTAAGTATGTCCCAAACGACCCTAAAGCAGCTGAATCTAGAAGACCAGAAGAACTCGAAAAGGCGCGCCGCAAGATTAGCGACCATCTTGTAGAGAGAGGATTTCATGGTGGACAAACTATGGTACGACCTTTCATAAAAGACCTCGATCAACTGTTGATCAAGTGTCATCATGAAAAGAGTCAGAAAAGCTATCAGAAGACCAAACTTCGTCACCAACTTATCAAGAGATTGGGAGGACGCTTGCGTAAGTCCAAATCCGTTCTTAGGAAGACTGATAAGTCTAAAGTGTTCCATTTAGGAACCTCAGAAGACTATCAGAAGAAAGCTCGAGCATATATGGAAAAGACCAAGGCATATGAACTATTAGGCCCTACAGTCCATTACAGGATCTCGTTCAGAGGACTAATCGTTTTCTTAGACGCCTCTGGATTGAAAAGAAGATGACTCGAACGCAACTAGAGAAATTGTTGGTGGATCCGGCGAAAGCCGAGCTTGCCCATCTTTATTTCCTTCCTAAAGCACATAAGCTTCGTACTCCGCTACGTCCAATTGTGTCAGGGATCAAATCCCCGCCCATGGCTATTTCAAAGTTTTTAGATAAATACCTTCGACCTCTGTTCGATCAGATGGCGGAGCATTCATCGATCAAAGGAGGCTTTTACCTTCTAAATAAGCTCCAAAAATGGGCCAGATGGAGACTTACGACCACTACACAGTTTCTCACGGTAGATGTGTCAGATCTCTATACGATGATTCCGCAAGATGGAGCCGTAGATGCCCTTCGAAAATTGTTTTCGCATTTAAAACTAACAAATGTCAGCGGTCTTTCAATTGAAACAACCCTTGAATTGACTCGATTTGTTTTGGAGAGTAATTATTTTGTACTAGACGGTTTATACTACCGACAAATCCGTGGTGGAGCCATGGGTTCGCCTTTAACCCTCACAATCGCCAATGTGTACATGTTCTTCTATGAGCGCCCCATTGCAAAAATGATTAAAAGGCAAGGAGGCTTGTATTATCGGTATATCGATGATATTTTTATGACGAGTACAGCCACTCCAGAGAAAATCAAAGACTGGGTTCGCCATTGGAACCGTCTAGACTCGAATATTCAGCTGACTGCACAAATCAGTCAGACTGTTGATTTTCTCGATCTTCATATCGGAAATAAAAATGGAGTCCTTGAGACGAGTGTCTTTCACAAGCCCTCTCATGAGCCCTACTACTTACCTTTTTCAAGTATTCATGCGCTACACATCAAAAGGAATATTCCCTTTGGAGCCTTAATACGTGCGATTAGGTATTCATCGACCTTTGAATTGTTGTCGAAAGAAGAGGCATATATAAAGATGGCCCTCCTTTTGAATGGATATGAAATAGAATTCATTCAGACGCAATTCAAAAGAGTTTTCGAAAAATATTCAATACAGACCCCGAATCCAACTAATTTTTCTCAGATTCGAGAGGTTCTGTTTCAGAATTTTTTCTGTACCAGAGATCAAAAAATTGCTAAAATTGATTATGAGACCTCGATGCTATTTCATTTCACGTTCTGTGAGGGAATGGATAATTTTGCGTCTCATTTCCATCGTTTATGGAAACAGCATTTTGCGGAGACACCCCTAGGATCTATTTCTCCTATTGTAGGTGTCCGCAATGCTCCCAATTTGCAACAAAGACTAGTTAAGAAGAAGCCGGCATCATACCTCATCCGATAGACCCTTTTTCATTTTGGTTGATTTCATACCTGGTTACCCACGCGTCTTACGACCGATGGCTGCGGTGGACCGGGAGATGACCCCTTTTACCAAAGAAGAAAATTGAGAATTCTACCCACACGAATGTGAGTTCGCCAGAATTTCAGAGCGTTTCGCCGTAAATTGGCAGGACCGGTTCGCTCACATTCAGCGTGTGAGTCCTTCACGACGGTGAACTCACACTCACTATGTGGAGTCCATCCCGACCTTGAGTGTAACGAATCAGTTGCTCAACTCTGACCCGAGTGTCGATGACGAAGGTGACAATGATTGACTGTATGCGTGGTTCGCTATCTTTCCGTGTCACTCGGACAGATAGAATGGCATTAGCAGTCAACAGTGACACATCCAGAAGTTGCAGGTCTGAGTCGAAATGCATCGACCGGACAGATTGCTAGTGGTCGAATCTTCGTCAATTCGGCATACAAGCAGAATTTGACAATTCGACCCTCAATCGGTCATCCGTCGTCACGTTCAGTGCCACTAAAGCACTTACATCGGCGGCAAATACCCGATCATGCACCAGAACGTCCGACAAAGAGTACTCTACGCCGCTGGAGACGTCAGCGGCTAGAGGTGCGTATTGCCAGTGGAAGTGGCAGTCGTAAAAAACCGCCCGCCCTGCAATCGTCAGTTCGGTTAGCGACCCCTCAACATTCTGTCGAGGAGCCAGTTGCTATCGAACCACGCCCGTGTTTTTCGCCACGAGGCGAAATATCGGAAGGTCTCTCTGGCGAGTCCCCCGTTGCAAGGACCCCAGACCGTGTCAGTGTCGAATCTTTTTCGACCGATTCCACGGAAGAAGGGATGCTTCTCGACCGATCGCCGGACAATGGAGTCAGCGATCTCGATGAACTGGCGGCACACCTGGAACTCGACCGCGGTGAAGACTAACATGTCTTCTCTTTTTGTGTCGTGTGTGTGTTCGTTTTCTTTTTTTGTGTGTTTTGTTTTTTGTCGTTTTTTTTTGGGGTGTTTTTTTATTTGAACCTCTTTTTATTTTTTTTTTATATATTTTAAGTGTTTTGTTTTTCATGTTCTAGATACCCTGAAGAGCTTTTGTTTTAATAAAAGCGAAACGGGTTGGTAATCAATCTTTAGAATCAAACAAACACTCAATTCTCCATTGCGTGTCATTAGTGCTTTTATAGCCAGTCTCTTTCTAGAAGATTAGGTGTGTTGTAGATACGACCTCCTCCTATTTTATTTTTTCGAAAAAATAATTAAAGTACGTTTGATGGATCGGGTTTTATAAGAGCTATTTACGGCAGGGACGACCTAAGTTGCTCAATCGATGTCCGACATTTCATAGCACTACCTGACTCCACAAGTCGTGATCTA